AGAGCGTCTATAAAAGCCTGATCCAGACCAGAATCATGGAGGTGAAAGAGTTGCTGAAGCTGTCTCTGAAGAGCATCAGATGTGGAAAGCTCTGCCGGGTATCTATTAGATTGAGAAGAAGCTGAGGAAGATGGGTGCTTTATGAGAAATCTAACCAGCAAGTGGAGAAGACCGGAGATGAAGAACAGTACGGCCAGAATCACGATTATGAAAAGAACAGCCGGGCTTATTCTCGTACCAGAAGATGATGATGACGATGATGATGATGATGTTGGGGTTGATTCTTTGGGAAACCCACCAGTATACGGTGATGAAGAGATGGGGGCAAATGGAGGAGAATAACTCATGTAACCATCTTTTTCCTGGATTTGAAGAAGCTGAATTCTTGACATTTTCAAATGGGTCTGGCCCAAAGACAACTTATAATCTTCTCTCTCCAACATTCCAGAAAACAAACATATGCAACATCCCTAAAACCATGTTCTTCTCTCTCTACTAAGGAGATCACACACAAGACCAACTAAAAACAAAATCAAGCACTTTTTTATTTAACTTCATTTTGAATCCTGAAATCCCATAAAGCCCACAACCTTTTTGAGCTCAAATTAGACTTCAATTGTTGGTGTTATATCAGTTTTCAAATAAAAGCTAAGACACTGATTGAGCAAAGAAAGACGAAAAAGAAAATACAAGCTGATATGAAATATATTATGATTAAACTTGTGATATTCTACCTACCGTGATACTGGGAAGTCCAACCATTGATGGGTTTTTCATAAGCTAATTGATAACGTAATTTTTTTTTCAAAAAAAAAAATTGCAGAGAGAAGAACCCTAGAGAGTAAAGACTGAAGCTTTTCTTATTTCACTTGAACATGACGAAGAAGAGGAAAGTGGTGTTTCTCTTTCTCTCTCTAAAAAAGAAGTGTGTTTCTCTCACTAAAGTTTTCCTGATGGAAGCAGGGGAAGCCAGAAGGGGGTGGTGGCAGTGGCCAGTGGGCGGTAGTTTCCAAAGTGCGATGTAAAGAATGACAAAAAGTGACGCTGAGTTTTACTTCCACGCGCCGTGAGAGCGCGTGAACTGAAATGGTCAACTACAAGCGACAAAGCGACACGCCCAAATATGGGCTTCTAGGTGGGCCTGGGCTGGTTTTCGAAAGTTGTGTCCACACACTGGTTTGTGGGCTCAAGCTTGTGAGCAGGAGTGATTCAGTGGTTTCGGGTGCAGGAAAAGATCCATGCAGCTGACCTCAGAAATTCTTTTGGTACGAGTGTTTCTAATAATTAAAAATTGAAAGGGAGAAAGAGGAAAATAGGTCAAGGTTTGAGATGAATTAAAATTAATAGGTTAATCGTTTATATAAGTTAATAAATAGGTTAAATTACTGTTTTTGTCCATAACTTGTCTGGTTATGAACCATAACTTGACAAGTTATTGTCCATAAATCACAATTTTTATCCCCAACTTGTCTGGTTATAAACCATAACTTGACAAATTTGTCTATAACTTATCTAATTATAAACCATAACTTAACAAGTTATGACATATTAATTTTTATAACTAAAAGTTAACTTATATACTTCTTTAAACTTTTTATATTGACCTATTTTCTACTATTTCCGTTGAAAAATTTTGATCAAGCTCACACTAGGTAAAACTTTATTGAAAACTGATAGCACCTAATAATGATAAGCCACGGCCAATATGCTCAACCCAGCGCCCGCCGGCCCAAAACAACTAATGTGCTCTATCGATACTGATCTTTTATCTCCTTTCATGACTGATTTACATCATTTAACTCACCATCATATTAATTTTTTCATAATTGATCTATAAATTTTTTCCATCATTTTTTTAGTTTTGTACTAAATTTAGTTTAATTTTTAAGCAGTTAATGTTTAGATGATATTAAATACTGATTATTAAGGGTATTGTAATTAGTATTTTTAACAATTTGATCGGCTAAAGGTCTAAATAGTCTAAAGGTAAATTTGGTATTTAGCTAAAACTCAAGGGGACTTTTTTGAACTTTTCTATTTTTATATCTTACTAATTTTTATTTATTTCAATAGGAGATTATCTGATACGCCTGGCGTACCGGTAGGTCAGGTTTTTTTAATCGCTGGATCTGTGTACTTTTTGACTTTTACATAATTTTATGCAAATCGACGGACAAAAAACTTGATTTATCGGTATGTTGGCGTATAAGAGAAGGTACCTATTTTTCAATATGAAATGATAGTAAGTTTACCACAAAAAGAAAAATGCTTAAAAGCTAAGATAAAGATGCAATTTAGGTGGAAAATGTATCTATCAAAATTTTAAAGCATCAAAGTTGTTGTCATTCATTGTCGTGACACAATAATCTTTCCAAGCTACAATAAATGAGTACATGAAATAGTCACAATTTGCTGCTCCATCACACAAAGATCAAAAAAGAAAATAAAAACAAACCACGAGACTCATGAACCAGAAATCAAGAAAATACAAAGGTTGCTTTAGCTTACATTATTTGCTTGTGCACTTGCTCAAGTTTCCCCCTTGCATTGGATATTGAGCAAAAAATATGGCGTTTCTTAAGCAAATTGGGATAAGATATTACTTGAGTTTGTGATTTATTTTGTTTTGCCTTGGAAGGATAAACTAAAACCATGTGAATTCTCCTTCTTTTGTCTTGAGCCTAAAAGCAATTAGGTGAAGAATTATTTGGATTACAATTAGGCTTAGCTGGAAATTAAGAAAACTAATGAAAAGAGGTTGAGATTAGCTGTTAGGTAAGCAAGAAAAACAGCTCACATAACTGCCCTTTGATGATGATTAAGCCACGCGTGCATACCCACTTGGTCACGCAGTCAAGAAACAGACAATTTTTGGTCTGGTTAATCTCTCAATGTGGGATCATTGCTATAGGGTAGGTCTTAGAAAATGGAAGAGTAGTTAGATGGTCAATTTTTCTTCACTTCATTTATTGCAGTGGATGCTAGGAGTATTATGACTCGTTTATTTTACTTGTTTGAATTTTTGATTCTGATTCTGCTATAATATTTTTCTCTCATAAAATATTTAAATAAAAAAAATTTCTATCAATGTATTCTCTCATAAAATTTAAATTTAAAATTAAAATTAATAATTTAAACGCACGAGTTAAACAACGGGCCTTCAAAAGTTGTAAGACTCAAATCTACTGCTCGAACATAATAAGCAAAAAAAGATGACAGCCTTAAATTTCACTCTAATGTAATTGACTTTCTGGGCTTATTTTATGCGTCACAAGTATTAAACTCTGACGGTATAGCTCGAATTTAATCCGTTGACTATTTCTAATGTTTGTGTACAGGAAGAAAATTGTATGATATTGTTATTGCTTGTCATCATTTTGGCTTTGACTGGGCACTGCCTCATCTTTGGGAGGGCTATGGGCGCAACAAATCCGGGGTCAAATCCATGATTAGTTCTATCACCAGCGCATTACTGCTTTGAGTGACAATTGGTGCTTCTAAAAATATTTGTTTTATTTATAAGACTAGCCACTAGCACTTGACAAAAAAATTATATCAAATTAGTAGTTGAAAAAAGTTGCTAATAGTGATACCAAGTTTTATAAATATAAAATAGATGTGATATAATATGTCCACCAAGCTGAAAACAAAGCACTACTTGGCCTTGATGGATCTTTTCCCTAGCCGAAAGAGTAGACCAAAGCCCACACGAAGAGAAAAATGCCATCTAGCATCTTAACCTAAGCCCAAGGATGCTAATGGTCCGTTTAGTTCGCTAATTTGAGTTAAGATATGATTTTATGTGAAAACTTTTTACAGTAATAAAAAAGTTAGATGTAACTGTTTCTGAGAGCTTTTTATTATAGTAAAACTCGAATTCTAAACTCGAATCAGTGAAATGAACAAGACTTAAAAATGCCATCTAATAGTAATGTGCAAAAAAGTATTGTTCATATTAAATTGCCAAAGAGAAGCAAAAGTTTTGAAGACATTTGAAAAGCAGTTGGTGTAACTGCAGGTTATTAGTTGATGAATGCATACAGATATGTTTCATAATCTTAAAATGGCAAGCTAAGCTATTCTGGAGGAATTACATTACTGAAAAGTAGTAATGTTACAGTGTTTCTATGATTTATAATCAGAATATGATAAATAAGCAAAAAAGGTGTATTTCCATTGCATGCCATGCTTCATAAGCTATATGGGCCTATGGCTGATCTCTCTTCCTCTTCTTTTATTTTGTTGATCATGACAACAACTTGGTTCATGGTAGGCCTAGCTTCTGGAGAAGGGTTGACACATTTTATGGCTACTTGTAGCAAGCTCACCAGCCTCTCTTCGCTAGCGCATTCCGACATCAAGGACTTGTCAAAAACTTCAGCCGTCCATTCTTCTCTCAGAACCGAGTGAACCCAATCTTGTAAATCCACACCATTGTGCTGCACTAGATTCCCTGTGAGCAGCTCAAGCAAGATCATTCCAAACCCGAAAACATCGTCTTTGAAGGCTTTCGGTGAACTAGATCGAGTAATGACCGGGATTAGACCATATTTACTTATACATGGCTCCATGTTCCTGTTCAGAAATATGTTTGAAGATTTCAAGTTACCATGAGCAATCCCATCATCTTGGAGTTCCTGATGCATGAAGGCCATGGCTTCCACAATGCTAGCCGCAACCCCAAGTCTACTAGGCCAGTCAAAAGTTTTGGGCATGTGGGTTCCTGAAAATAGAGTTTGAATTTTAAAACGCTATATACATAACAAAAATAATAATAAGGTGAAGTGACATAATCAACTACTATTTCGAAAATTGAAACTACTAATTGCTCGTCTAGTATGGCCAGTATTGTCATCTAGTAGTACTGGCACGCTGTCTTATGAGCACTACCCTCATCTTCAGTGATTAAGGATACTTACCATGGAGAAGTTCGAATAGACTTCCATTTTGCTGATATTCATAGACCAACAGCTTCTCTTGTTTGGAACTATAGAAAGCAAGGGGAGGCAACACATTTGGATGCTTGACTTGATCTAACCTCTGCATCCTTTGCTTAAACTCATGACTTGAAATTGGCCAATTTTTTATCCTTTTGACAACTAGAGTCTTCCTATTATCGAGAATGACCTTGTAGACGCTACCGTTCTTGCCCCGACCGAGCATCTCAGCTGGGGCCTTGAGCAAGTCCTCGAATTTCAACCCATTCACCTCAGGACTAGTGAGGACCACCAGTGAGGATGACACCAAAGCACTGTTATCAGCTGAGACAAATGATGTTTCTGATTTGCTAAAACCTGCTTTGTACCCCATTGATTCAATAGTACTAGACTTGTACATTCTTTCATCTTGACCATCCTCGATTGCTTCTTCTTTTTGTGGCAATGCATCCACAACCTTCTTTTTCCTTCTTCTTTTACATAACACGACAATGATAATCACAACAAAAACCAAGGCTAGCGTCAGATATCCTACAAACATAAAAATCTGATCTTTTGAGGAATCCTTTGACTCGCCAGCGACGCTCTCTGCTTGCAGAGATGATGGACACTTGTTTGGCAAGGGATCCCCACACAATCCAGGATTACCAAGAAAGCTACTTGCAGTGAAATATCCGCGGACATCAGGTACGACACCATTGATGTTGTTGTTGGAGACATTGAATTGCTTCAAGTTTGAGAAGTCAAATCGCGGTATCTCCCCGCTGATTTCATTGTTTTGAGCGAGGAAAACTGTCAGGCCTGAAATCCTAGACAAGTCTGGCAATGTACCGTATAACTTGTTATTTGAAACATCAAGTATTTTCAGGTTGTTCAACATGGCAAGAGAGGTTGGAAGGGTCCCATTAAGCCGGTTTCCATTCAAATGCAAGCGAGTGAGTTGTTTGCAAGACGCAACATCGGGCGAAAGCACTCCACTAATGTCATTACTCTCAAGATGAAGAACAGTTAGAGACTCTGCAATACGCTCCACATTGCAAAGCAAACCGATATCAAGCTCTCCGACGAGATTCGAGCTATTAAGAAACAACTTTCTCACAAAATTATTTCTTGTGTCACAAGTAACAGCTTTCCAGTGATCCTTGCAGGGGTCAGAGGAAGAGTTCCAACCCAAAAGCAAACCGGATTTGCCTTTGTTATTGGAGAGTTTTGCAAGAAAGTTGATTAGTGAGCTCTTAACCTCATCTTCCACACAAGTTGTTGTGTGAAGGAGAAGAAAGACTGAAAAGAAGATCACCCATATAGTGATTCTTTTCATTCTGGATTATCACAGCTTGGTAACTTTTTTTGTTGGAAATTTTCTAGAACTAAATATACTGAGTTTGCTGGGATTAAGGAACAAGGAGAAAATCCCAATGCATCAATTGGCTGATTCTACAATGTTAACTTTGTATCATATTAGTTTTAAACTAATATTTGAAAAATATGGCGCCGGCAAATAAAAAAACAGTTTTGATTCAGTTTCTAATTTCACGTCCTTTTCTCCAATAAGGTTAGATTCCAGCAAAGTTACAGTGACAATGATCACGTCAGAAGAGTTCCGATGGCTAAAAATAATGTGTTTTATAGTAGTTTTCAGATGAGATATCAGAAATCTTGACCCAGATAGTTGGCACTTGACAGGGTCAAAATTAAGGAAAATGCCATTTGTAGGATTGTGCAAGTGAAAAAGAAGATGCCATTTTAATAAGACCAAATATTATGAGTTAGAACGATAAGAAAAGCGTTGCAAAGTTTGGGAACTTCTCAAACTATTACTCCATGCGGACCATGCCAATTAATAAAAGGAATAAACCCATCAGTGTGAGTGTGACTTCATAATTGTCGCGAGGGAAACAATAAATTCTTTTTGATGTTGAATACTTCTTCAAGTCTTTTGGAAAACAAACAATATTGCCGTCCTATTACAGATCTTTTTTCCTTTTATTAATTAGATTAGATCTCCTATATGCTGTCCTTTTGTTGTAATATTGCTCATGCCAGAAAACTCCTACAACTTTCATGTATTAAGTGTAATAAGAGTGCTACCGTTATATATATATATATACACTTTTTCCAATTCAATGGGAAAATTTCTGGATCATATATTTTTTTAAAATTTTACATTACGGTTGCAAATGTGATGAGAATGGAAATAATAGAGCAAATATTTTTTTAGTTGAAATTTACAACAATATTCTTCTTATTACTCTCTCTCTCTCTCTCTGCTTTTCTAATTGAGGACAACAATTTTATTCAAATGAAACAAAATTTTTTGTCATAAATTAAAATTTTGTAGAACCATATAACAAATGATTTATTATAGCTAGCAAACAAAGATAATTTATTATTTTTTCACATTTTTTTTTTCTCCAATTAGCGCGTGTGTGACTTTTCAAAAGAAGAAGAAACCCAGCTTTACAAGAAATATATTTTGTAAGATGAAATTTAGCTCTACAAGAAATAAATTTTTTACTCTTTCAAAATTTCTTCTGTCTTTAGGCTCATTGATATGAGATTTGCCCACCAAAAATATGTTGTCATTTGAGTGTAAGAAGATGTCATAAGAGTTTCATTTCATTGGAGCGAGAAGAGGCAATTTTATTGGCGTTTATGGCCAAAAACGGCGTTTCGTTCTTAGTTTAAGAGCTTGTTTTTGTCAAGAAACGACAATGAGTGCAACTATGGCGCTATTATTAAAATAAAAGCGACATGTCGTCGGCCAGAGATTTTTGCTATCGTAAGCAGTTGAACACCGTTTGTTGACATGCAAAGATTAGAGCCATACTTGAATCATACTTGAATCTTAGTGGACGTTTAGTTCAGATTCAGAATTATGATTTAAAATTATTATCAGTTTATGTGTGTTTTTTATAAGAGAAAATACTGTATCGAACTATGAACTATAATTCAAATCATGACAAGAATCCTCATATCAAATTACCCCTTAGAAGTTTGCTACACGAGTCTAATGAAAAATTTATTGAGTTTGTCCTCTTTTACATCAATAAATGACATGCCGTTTATATTGTAGATTTCGCTGTCGTTTACTACATTTGTTATATATTAGTATTTCATTTTTGATATCGTTAGTCATGAAGTACAAGCCATTTTAAAGATTGGGTTCTTAATTTTTTTTAAATAATTTATTTGTTTATTTATTGTAGTTTTGATTCTTAATCCTAAAATTGACATAAAACTTTTACAATTAAACAACAAAAATCAGAGACAACTTCAAAAATAATAAAGAGAATATTAGGGACTAAAAACGTTAAAAATTTTGATTAAAAATGTTACTACCATGTTTGAGGCGGTTTTTCGTAAATAACATGTTTGGCAGTTTAAACTTCGCTGTCGTTTTCTTTTTCCATAAAAAACCTGTCGTTTGAGCAGGA